CCCACTAACCCCACATCCTCACTAACCCCACATGCCCACTAACCCCACATCCTCAGTAACCCCACATGCCCACTAACCCCACATCCTCAGTAACCCCAGATCCTCAGTAACCCCACATGTCCACTAACCCCACATCCTCAGTAACCCCACATCCTCACTAACCCCACATGCCCACTAACCCCACATCCTCACTAACCCCACATCCTCAGTAACCCCACATGCCCACTAACTCCACATGCCTACTAACCCCACATCCTCAGTAACCCCACATCCTCACTAACCCCACATGCCCACTAACTCCAATTGAGACTGTAGGAGTTCTTATCTTATTTCCTTTTCCACTCCTGCATGATCTCAGGTGCCGTAGATATTCTTGCAGCCCTGTGTTCGATGGCACCCCTCTGTCTGTGTCAGATCATCAAGAAGACACGCTTCCCGCACTGGGGGGAGCAGCTAGAGCTGGAGCTGGAGCCGAGGGAGCTTACTGGAGGGGGCAGCCTGACCCTGGAGATCTGGGACTGGGACATGGTGGGCAAGAATGACTTCCTGGGAAAGGTGTGTGACAGATAGGATGGAGCGTCCGAGGAAAGGGACATTGTTACATTTAGTGCAAGCAGAGGCAGCCTACTGTGAGTTTAGTTGCAAGAGGTTCATTTTATACAGGGTCAAGGTTGCCTGAGAACTGAACAAAGACTTAACAAGCTGACCATAAATACATTAAGAGCAGAATCACAGAAAGTTATCACGATGGCCACTGTGTTTTAATGCTGTGTCAATCTGAACATGCCATGTTTATATGCATTTCAAGGCTTTCAACTCTTGATATGAACTGAAGTAGAGACTCTCTACTGCATGATTGTGGCCTGTAGGTGGAGATTTCCCTCACCTGCCTGTTGAAGAGCCCCCTACTGGAGGGCTGGTTCCGCCTGATGCCCCTCAGAAATGCCGAGGATGACGCAGGGTGAGGCCATGGCCACCAGCCACTAAGCAAGCAAGGATAAGCTAGGGGGAGTCGTTGTGGTGGGCTTGTCTGCTTTGAACCCTCACCAGAGGGCTGTCAGGGGTCTCACAAACGACCACTAATGCTAATGATAATCTTGGCGAGACAGAGCCCATGTTGCAAGCAGCCACTTGTGGGGGGTTTATTACTGAGTGACTCATCCTCGGGGGGTGTGGGGGGGGTGGCTCTTTTGGAGGCTAAACCACATAAGCATATCTAACGGTTCTTTTTCTGAGCTAATGAGTCTCATAGATCAATGATAGCACAGGCTATTGTGATCTGCAGAAATCATTAGTGAAAATAAGCTTTGATAATCCTTTTCTTTCCAGTCTCAATAGCTCAGATAAGAATATCATTATATGGCAGAGAGTGTTGGATTCACCCTGCTCAGTCACTCACTCCTGATCCTGCCATACTGTCCGTACTCTCTGCTTAACGCCTCCCCAGTAGGAGCAAGCTGGGTGCCGTGCGGCTGAAAGTTCGCCTCATTGAGGACCAGATTCTGCCCTCCATGTGCTACCAGCCCTTGGTGGACCTGCTGGTGGAGTCCGTCATCTCACCTGCGGAGGCAAGTCACCCGGCTCCATCACCCCTTCTAGTTGCGCTTTCCCCAGCCCGGACAGTACACAATGTGCCTGTGGTTGCAAAGCTTTACTGAGGCACTCGGTCGCAGCCAGTTTTCTCTCAACAAGCACTGTTGTAGTTTAAGGCACTCTCTTGGGATTGCCCCCCCCCTCCCCCCATTATTAGAGCCACACAAGACCAGAGTCTTAGCAGAAGTGCGCTCAGTATCAGGCAGACCAAGACGGTGCTGTTTTCTCCTTAGCTTTTTGGCTTGTTTGGGGCTTGAGCTCCAAGCATGTTACAGGGTATCAGATATTAGTGTGAGTGATGTGGGCACCAGTTTGGCTTACGGAGGTCTGTGTCTGGCATCCATTCTCTGAGCATTGTCCCCCCAGGTGGATGATGTGAGTCCGCTGACCATGCTGGAGGAGGTGACCATGACGGAGAGCCGACAAGATGTGGCCATGACACTGGTGAAGATCTACCTAGGCCAGGGCCTGGTGGTGCCCTTCCTGGACTATCTGAACATGCGTGAGGTCAACCACACCTGTGAGGACACCTTTTTGTGTGTGTGTGTGTGTGTGTGTGTGTGTGTGAGAGAGAGAATTATTAAAAATTAAATTAGTTTATACAATAAAGCTGCGATATTGGGATACACAGCTGTTATATTGTTGCGGTACTACATGGAATGTTGCTCTCATGTTGTGTGAATCCGGGGATCACCCTGACCACAGCTGGATGGGCGTGGCCTGTTAGACTGGCCTAGCCCACTTGGGTTTCCTACCTGCTGGAAGTCACACGGCCATCACTGTTTAGCTTTGACAGGTGCCATAAGCCTGGCATGGTTGCCCTCTTCTCACTGCCACCATATTTATCAGCTAACTGGTGCTCGCTAACATTAATGGAGTAGAAGGATGGTTCAGGTCCCTCCTTCGTCGATGTCGACCAGGGGTCGCTTCCCTGAGGGTAGTTCCCCACAGGGTAGTTCCCCACAGGGTAGTTCCCCACAGAGACCAAGGAGGGTAGTCTAAATCCCCTACCGAGAATGCGGGTGGTTAGAATCCCATGTTTTTGGTGGTATTTTATTGTGCGATCATGTGCTTTGTGTCTGGGAAGGTCTGGGTACTTCATGGTCGGGGAAAGCGGGTGGACATGTGTACCTGAATGGGAAGGTGCAGATGAATGTGTGGTTAGTGGGTCAGGTGCTTCGTGATCGGGAAAGTCCGGTTGGTCATGTGCTTCATGGGTCGGGAAGGTGCAGTTGATCATGTGCTTTATGGGTCAGGAGTCTGGTTGGTCGTGCACTTCATGAGTTGGGATGGTGCGTTTGGTCATTTGATCATGTACTTCGTAGTCGGGAAGGGTGAGAAGAGGAGCTGAGTGTGTAAGTCTCCCCTACTGCTAGTACAGAGCCTCACTATCACCAAAGCTTTTGCAGTGCCTCCTTGTGGCCACACATGGTAACTGGGTATTTTGCAGTTCCAGGCTAAATTCATGGGGTTCTCCGAACAGCAGTGGGTCCCAGAGATGTGGCATGCAGGCCCACCACTGTGTGGACACGCCCTGATGCCCAACAACCACTACCCCAGCTAT